ATCAATCTCAATACCAGTACATAACATAACATCTCTGTCATGCACAAGACAAATCAGTCTCAATACATCTCTGTCATGCACAAGACAAATCAGTCTCAATACATCTCTGTCATGCACAAGACAAATCAGTCTCAATACATCTCTGTCATGCACAAGAAAAATCAGTCTCAATACATCTCTGTCATGCACAAGACAATCGTCATTACAGAGGGCCAGAAAAAAGACCCCCTTACGACAAGAACACAAAATTCAGACTAGTTTTATCTACAGTAAGCCATTCATTAATCAACAGTACATTCCAGTTCAGACCACGTAAATATCATGTAACGCTCGCAGTGGTGTCATCTACTTCACAAAGCACTCTACCAATACTTTGTCTGAACCCTTTCAGCTCTGTTCCCTTTCACACTTCGCGGTCACTTGGTGCAATAAAGCGACGGGGTCACCTGGTGCAGTTCTGTGCCAGGCCCGAGAAGTCTGTTGCAGTCACTCTCCTGGCTGGGTGACCAGATGGGGTATTTTGTACTGCTGGCTGTGTGACTGTAAAGTGTTACGCCTAACTGAAGGACCAGAACGGAGGAGCTCACAAAGATCTTGCTAGATTTACATCACCAAACACTGTATTGTGAATCCTGGGTGCAGAAGTGTAAAGGTAACAAATCCTCGGGTCTATAAATGTAAAACTGAATTCGTGAGGCATCGTGGTGAAATCAGGCACTCATCGTTGAAGTCTAAGAAACCTGGGGTTTTCTGCTCCTTAGGCAGTTCTCATCAAACTTTTGGTTTGCTAAACACACTTTCATATCTATGAAAAAAAACATTACAGTTTGGACGCAACTGAAAAGCGTTGATCATAGGCCAAAAAAAATGTCAATTTACAGTTTCCCAGAACTCTGCGCTTTGGAAAGCAGCCAACATTTTCTTGCCAGGTTTACCTCTGACACCAAGCAATCCCTACCTTTTTCAATCACAGATTGAGATATCTCGACTTCAGCTCAAGATATAGGAATATCTTTTTCATCAAAAGTGAGACAAGTGAACAAGCTTTAAGATCATACCAATAACTCCAATAATATATAGATCTAAAAACTGACGAGCGTCTGATTCCACCGCGCCATGACACATTTCCCATCACGGCCTCACTTCCTGACTGACAAAAGTAACATCCAGTACGAGGTGGGATGCGTTGACCCTCCCTGTCACTGCCCATCCAAAGCCTGCAGGATACATCCCAGCCAACAGGATATTAAATAAAAATATCTTCCTCGTGCGGAAATCAAACTCGTGTCGTTTGCACGAAAGAGCCTAACCTCGACACCACATACACTGATCCCAAAACGTGGTAGCAGCGAAATACTAGAGCATAAATATTCAGCGCTGACAAATGTGACAAACAAGTCCTGAGCATAGTCACACAATTATATCACATTCGAAGTCTGTTAGGAGCAGAGAGTATTACCTTAAAATGTTTCTGCAGCAATCATATTTTAAAACATCAAAATGGTTTGAAAGTCAAAAACAAATTCACTTTTAGTTTTGATAATGATATATAACACAATTAGCCACCGAGACGTCAATCACAAATCTATTTCCTGAGGTGTGAAAATCCCCTAACAAAGGCTTCTACAGGATGCTTTGCAAAAACGAGAAACGATAAAATGTGCTTTTTTAAAAAGAGAGTATTTTGGCATGTACGCATTGCAGGTGTCTTTTCAGCTGCTTTCTTCAACATTCTACGTCATTTCTCTTGGGTATCAAACAAAAAAAGAAAAGGTGCATAAGCATTCTTTGCAACACTTAACTTCCCTCTGTCAGACAAAGCCATGGTACAAGACGCCACTAGAGCAGAGACTTTAAATGTGTAAATGTGACACCCTCATCACCATCAGGCAGAGACTTTTGAGTGTACATGTGACACCCTCATCACAATCAGGCAGAGACTTTTGAGCGTCCATGTGACACCCTCATCACCATCAGGTGCTAGATCTCAAATACACAGCGGAGACCACGCTTCGTCATTCATTCATTTGTGTAGCTGCTACAAAAAACCGTCTACATCATCGCGGTATTTCCCGCACGGGCAAGATGTAACCTACCTACAAAACATGAATGGCTCATTGTGAAGAAGGAGCACTCTACCCAGCCTGCCCCACTTTACAGTAAGTGTAAAAGATTACACACATATTGATTGTGTTAAGCTTGAACTGCAAAACTGATTTCTTGAAAAGTAGATTTTTACAGACTCATAATTTTTTTGTAATTACAACAACAAAAAAACACCAAAAAAAAACCAACAACAAATCCAGACTATGCCAGGTGAAAACCAATGTCAAGAAGGCACACACAGTTCACAGTGAATGTTACAATCGTTGTCTTACCAAATTCTGGGGAAAGTTCTTCTTGAAGTCCCACCCAACATCGTTAGTAACAGTTTCATCTAAAATAATTTTTTTTTTTTTTTAATTAAAAAAAAAACATCTTTTCTTCTTCTTCTTCTCGAAACTAGTTCAGAATCAGACTGTAACTGACTGTAAGACCACCACACACTACAGTTTGTTTTACGTACAAAGCAGTTTTATTCTCGTAGAATGTAGACAAAAAAAAATGACCTATTTCTTCCCATGACACGACTAGAGCAAAAAAATATAAATAAATAAAAACATTTTTTTTTCATATTTGTCAGGGTCACTCATTTTCTGCAGTGCAATAAGACAGGAGTATTTGTTACAACACCAAAAAAATGTAATGATCATAATTATAATAACAACATTGCGTTTATGCGGCACATACACATGCTCCGAGCGGCCTGCAACCATCACTACATCAGTAGACTTTGCGACACTCACAAACAAAAGGGGAATGTTGTGCGTAGAATACAGAAGGCAAGCAAAATCATAATTAATTGAAACTGTGTTAAGGCAAGACAAAATGATGGTTCAATTCACAATAATTTTGTAAATAGTAATAGTACCATTTGCGCAAGACAAAATGATAGTTCAGTTCACAATAATCTTGTACATAGTATCGTTTGCGAACGACAAAAAAAATTATCCAATTGGCAGTTAACTTACAAGAAAAAACCAAAAGCCATTTCAGCAACTGTGCATAACTTAAGGCACTATTGAGCAGACGAGAAACGGTTTCAGCAAAATCCCCCCCTCCCCCCCTCCCCTCCCCATTACACTACTTTATGTCCCCAAAAATACCAAACCCAAATTCCCAATATCATTACTGTTCTCATCTGAGTATGCTAGCATGATGGAAAGGTTAGTACGCGTATGAGAGTACATATCTAGCGAGGGCAACTAAACAAAAGGAGGAAATGTCATGATTTCATACATACATAAAGTCCACAGATATCAATAATAATATGTATTGATTAAATAATTCACAGAAATAACGAGCAAATGAAAATTATAAACAACACCGAAAAAATACAAATCAAAATCCCCCACCACTTAAATCACTCATCGAATGTCTTACGCCTACGCCTAAGCCTACGTCTGCATATATCAATCACTGGGATGTGTCGTGATTGACTAAAAGATAGATCGATTTAGACGGCATTTCTGAGCAAGTCCAGCCAATAATTCTATAGGGAAGAGGGTCTGAGCTTTAGCGGAAAGGAGCACATCGACACAGTAAAGGTTATCTCGATCAAGTGCGGGGACAAAGTAAGTCAGACAGATAGAGACACCTGTGGAAAAGAAAAGCCGTAAGTTTTTAGTTTTAGTAAATTTTTACGGCGCTCGCAACTAAATAAGGTCATAAAAGCGCCAAGGGGTGGATGTCAACAGAGAAGTCTTTATAGGGAATCAGACTTACTCTGCTCACCTCTCTAGCTTCAACAGCACAAAGTCTGCATCGACTATCAAGGCACCCCGGAAATAGCAGTTCACAAGAGTGTGACAAACATACAAAAGAGGTCGAGGAAAATGACGATAGTAAGGACGAGGAAAGTAAACACTGTACACAAAAGACCTTGTTTCCATTAGCTTTCTATCCTTAAAGCTCAAAGCCCAACAATGCACATGATAGACGGTCAATTAGGAACAACTCATTCAGTTCCTGAACAGAACGCCAGACCCACAAGAAATGATCGGTACAAAGGCTGAAGTCAAGTAAAAACAAAGCTTGAGTTGTTTCACCAGTGAGTAAACTTTGGAACATGACGGAAATAACGTAACGCTCAGACCATCACAAAAGGTAAAGCCAGACACTTGCAAACTGACAGCCAAAGAGGCAGAAAGAATGAAAGAGGAAAAAGAATGAGTGAGCGAATGAGTTCATTTGGTTGCGAGTTAATTTGGTTCAAAGCCTTTGGCGCAAATACTACAAACATGTTTGTCGCACCAATAAAATCCTGAGAGCGCAGCAGTAAATATTCATAATATCATAAACCTGTATGGTCACAGTAGAACCTGGAGGATCTTTAAGCAGGACCGATAACCCAGAGACTTACGGGACTGTAGCGCTTAAAGGCTGGCGAAATATTCGATGTGGTATGGCAGCACATGGGGGAGTCTTGGTTCTGGGTGCATGTGTGTGTGTGTGTGTGTGTGTGTGTGTGTGTGTGCATGTGCGCATTATGTGTATGTGCACGTGCATGAGTGCCAATCTATTATTAGTAGGTCTGGGCAGTTCAGAAGCATTTTTTGGTTTACAAAAAATGTAGAAATCATCATCTCTCAACCGTGGACTAGCCTAATGCTTGACTGTAAAAAAATGTTAATTAACTGACTTGTTGTACTTTTTAAGTCCTAAATACTTATTTATGACTTGAAGTTTTTGTAAACTACTCAATGAAGAATGTTCATGATTGGTAATGAATTTTGGCTTGAATTTCATAAACAATTCTTTACCTGATTCAGCTCACAGCATGGGTCACAGCCACTGACAGTCTCCCGTGGTTTGACGCCGAGCCACGCAGAGACTCACAGCGGCTCTTATAGATCTATTGTTCCCTTTTCTTCTCACCACTTTCCTCTCGTCTTTTTTCCTGACTGCTTACATCTCAACTCTTTTTTTTCTGGTGTCATTGTAATAGTATTCTTTATTCTGAACACTTTTAGATGATGTACTTAGGGTTTTATCAAATTTAGATATTTCGTTATGAACTTTCTGTGAGACCACTCGTAAAGTAACGGAGTGGTCACAAATTATTTGTGTCCGGAGTCAAAATTATCTGCACGCTGAATCAGTCAAAGTTGAACACTATAACTTTCCCAATAAAATGATTAACATTTTTCAAAACTTGATCATTTAACATTTGGAATAATGCTGCCATTCTAAGATACCTAGCAATAACAATTCAATAAATAAGCAAAAAGCTAAACTGATTCTCATCAACAACATAAATGACTCCCGTCAACAACAGAGTTGACCTTTGTCGCACTCGTTATATTCTTTTTTTTTTTCAGAATAGGTTCCCTGGAGCTAACGGGTTGAGTATGTTCAAGCAATTGGTAAAATAACGAGTTTTCAAAACTAAAGTAAGAGGAATTTCACTATGACCAACTCATGAATTAAGCAGTCTCGATGAGCAACTTCTTGAAATGTTAACCATAATTTTATAACAGAATAAATTTTTAAAAATTAAACCAATTTATTTAACTGGAGGGTTTTCTTTCACTTTGCATCAACAAGCAGCAGCGACATAGAGATAACTTGATAAAGATGTGTACCACTAGTAACACAAGATGTTTTATCGCAAGTCACAAGTCACAAGTCACAAGTCACAAGTCACTAGATTTTTTTCAGCCCTGTTCAGTAAGTCATTAAACCTTTATATCACCGAGCTACAAATAGGAACCTGTCAAAGGATAGAGATGGAATAAGTGAACGACAAATATTTAGAAGAATATGACAAATAAACTGTAGCGTTTTTTGCACACCAACAAGAGACCTGTTGGATAATTTGGAATGAACAAGTGAGCCAGTCAAAGGTTTGTTGGAAAGTCAAAGGAGGCTTCAGATGGGCACATGAAAAAGACTTAAAAACTTATCGCTGTAACTGTAATCAGAATGACAAGAATCTTAGTCCTGAAAACTATTATGGAATGTCAAATTTAAAAAAACCCAACTCAAATAAGCAAATTGGCAGATACTTCAGATAGAGATAGCTTTTTCAAGTGCATTTCAGCCACTATGGAATGTCAAATAAAAAAACTTAAATGAGCAAATTGGCAGAGACTACAGACTGGGATAGCCTTTTCAAAAGCATTTAAAACTTCACAAATTAAAGAGTTTAGAAAAATGAGTAATATCTTCGTAGTAACCGTTAACTCGTTCAACTAGTTAGTTGACCTTTCACCCAGGAGCATTTTCTGCCAAAGCCAATGCAACTTTTTCAAAAAATTAAGATATGCTACCTTTTTCAAACAATAAATATCTGTTCTGTATTCAAAACTTGGTCAAGAACCGAACATTTCATCATTTTTGGGTCTGTTCCGAGAGCCCAGATCAAGGAACACTGTTCATTCTGTGACAGCTCATGGAGCTTTCCATGCAAACTTACAGCAGCTGCACTACAACGCTGCACTGATTTGCATGGTCTCAAAACTTTGAACGTGTTCAGCTCAGCTTTAAATATTTGCCATTTCAAAATACCACAAGAATGGCTTTACTTCTTCATCCTCGATTTATGGTCTCACTGCTCATAAAAAGTTCGTGTAGCATATTGCACCTACAGTAACAGTAAAAATAACAGTAACAGAATGGGAAAACAGACATAATCATCAGAACAAAGAAGACACAGTACTTTGGTATCACTTGCTGCTATTGCAGATTAATTTCTTTAGTCCTACCTTTTACTAAACATTTCCCAAACTTAGTGTACAATGAGAGGAGAAACTCTCAAAGCAAAATCTTGTTTTACGACAGACATACGTAGACCAAGGATTCTACATCAAAAGATAGTTCACTTTTCCGAATACAAAAATAAGCATCCTTAAAAATGGCGGTAGTGACATCTACATTATTGCTGGTTGGATGTCAATAACTGAGTGACATTGCTGGCGACATCTTTCCAGTATTGCGAACAAATTGTCGACGATTCCTTTGTAGGAGAGAGAACTACCTTGCGTAGCTTGGCATAGACAAAAAGTTATTTTTTCAAACATTATTTTCAAACATTCCCATTCATGGAAACTTCAGGCAGCATTTAAACAATATACATATAGAATCTACATATATATCTATAATAAAAAACCGCATACACATACCACCTGAAGTAACAAAAGTGTTCATATGGCAACCTTTTTTATACACATCCCACCCGAAAAATAGAGATAGAAAAAGAGAGAAAGAGAGAGAGAGAGAGAGAGCAAGAGATAGAAAAAGAGAGAAAGAGGGAGGGGAAGAGACATAGACAGTCAGAGAGAGAGAGCGAGAGGTAGTCAGTATAAATATAGAGTCATCTGGTGTACAAAGGACCACAACTCCCAAGTACACTTAAAGACAGCGTACACTTGAAAAACAAAACATGTCATGTCTCACAAAAGAGAACCCCCCCCCCCAAAAAAAAAAAAACAACCAACAATTTGAACACTGGAGCTATGACAGTAAAGAAATGGGTTGCTTCAGTTACAGGAAATGTACATTTTTTTAAAAATGAAAAAAAAAAAAAAAATCAAAATTTAAATAAGAAAAAAAGAATTTTAATTACAAAAAATTTGGAAAAAAAAAAAATGAAGGGGAAACAGCTATCATCAATGGTTGGTTAAACGGTTAAATCATAGAGTGAGAAGAGAGACCTGGGGATACGAGTGGGCTACATGTACACCTGGGATACACCTGGGCTACATGTAGGGCAACACTTGGGGCTACACGAAGACTCTCATAGCGTGGTGGAGGTGACCGGGTGCAGCCCGTGGACCAGCACCGTGGGGTGCGACAGATCCGAGACCACGGCCAACTGTTGCATGTACCGCAGCTGCTCATCGGGGAGGACTGGGGGGCGGGGCAGGTACACGAAGGTCACCGCCGCTCGCTGGGAGTTGCTCTGTACAGGGGGAAGACAATAACGATAGTGATAGTAATGATATAAATAATAACAATAATGACTAATAATTTAAATATAAATAATAATTATATTGATAATAAAAGTAATAACAACAATATAATATTTTTAAAATAATAACAAAATAATAAAAATAATAATAATATACAGTAATAATAATAGCAATTAATAGTAATAATAATGAAAATAATAATCATAACTATAACAACAACAATAATAATAACAATACAAAAAGTAATAATATACATGAAAATAATAATAATAATAAAAAAGATAATAACATATGACCTTTATATCATGTTCAACCCCGCTTTAAAGAACACAAGTTCTGAGTACTTTGCAAATATTCAATAAAAAAATTTTCGTCTTCCCCTAGTGTCCAGAGAGTGGTAGCCACTGTCTGGACACTAGGGGAAGAGGATAAAAATTTCATCATGAAAGCAGCCTTATAGTGCTGCTGATATTGCTCAACTGCACTTTCGACAGACACCAGCCACATAAGCACCTTCATTCTGTCAAATGGTGCATTTAAATTTAACTTTGACAGACGACAACATGAGAAAAACGCATCGGGTCATTCAAAATTATGAGTCAAGTATAGAGACACCCTTTGACTTGATACTTCGTTGGCTTGTTGCATCAACAATCTTAAAGTAGTATGTATGCATGATACAAGGTTTTACGGCGCTCGCAACTGTATAAGGTCATAAGAGCGCCAAGGGGCGGATGTCAACAGAAAAGTCCAAACGCGGTTTTGGGCTTACTCTGTTCCACTCTTTAGCCTCAACAGCACAAAGTCTGCTTCGACTATCAAGGCACCCCCGAAACTAGCAGTTCACAAGAGAGTGACAAACATACAAAAGAAGTAGAGGACAAATGACGATAGTAAGGATGAGGAAAGAAAAAGCAGCAGTTCCCCTTTTGTTGTTCTGGCACAGTATGAGCATGACAATGACAAATCAGCCCATTTACAATTCTACTGTGCATAAGAACAGGTTAATATCCCCCCTTTGGGAATGGCCTAAAGACACTTCAGTCAGGTAGCACTGCCCTGGGGGGAGGGGGGGGGGGAGACAATACAGCTTTGCCTTTGTGGTAGACAATGAGGAAGTACAGAACAGTGCCAGACAAAACCACCGACCTGGACCAGACTCTTCACAGCCTCCAGATAGTCGTCGGGAACTTCGGCGTACTCGTTCATCCGGTTGCCCCGATCCTCGGCGTCGTCAACGACGATTGACTTCCCCGACGACTGCTCAAGGTCACTGCCATGTCGGAGGTGGTGCTGGATGTGCTCCCACGACACCACCTAGAGGCCAAACAAAATGTTCACATGAGTACGTCAGCGGCTTCTTTTGGTACACTAAATTGTATTTCACAGTAGAGCCTTTTCTCAGTTTTAGTAATGAGTTTTACGGCACTTGCAACACAATAAGGTCATATAAGTGCCGAAGATTAGAGGTGTTACAAGAGAGTAACAAACATAAAAAGAAGGAGGAGAGATTAAGACAATAGTTGTTTAATAGGAAAGAAGAAGCAAACCACACCAGAGTACCCACTTAATCTTTTTGATAATAATAAACACTTTTCTCTTCGACGATGGGACAATGGGTGGCCATTTTAGACAATTTCGACGGTATAATCAAAAGGTATTACAAAAGTTTTACTAATAATAAAGATTGCTCCAGGTAACACAATCTTGTACTTACTTGAGGGAGGCCTCGCGCTGTTAAAGGGATTTGAAAACAACAAGAACGTACCACAATCTGTGCCTGGATGCGGAGCTGCCTGAGGAAGGTGGAAAGTTTCTTCTCCTTGACTGCTGTGTTCTCCGAGATGGTGCGCACACACAGGAACACGCGCAGCTGGGTGTGCTGCTTCCAGCCGTTCTGCATGCTCAGGATACACGCCAGCTGCAGCATGAACAGGCACGTGTTGTCGAAGTAGCTGGCCGTCTGCGGCCGGAAAAAGTTCACAGGCCACACATCGATGTAGGACTTGCCGGCCTGCTTCAACAGCATCTCTTTGTTCAGGAGCTGAAAGTTCCGGCACAGGAAAACGTTTTTCTGAAGCTTGAGCGCGTCTTGTATCAACTTGACGTACTCCGAGCTGGTGATCAGCTTATCGCCCGTCGACCGCGGCCCATCAAAATACGACTCGATGTCCGTCATCTCCCCGCGCTCCACCGCTCCGAAAAAGCGACGTTTACGCACTCTGGTTTTGAGGAGAGAGTCACCCGGCACGCTGTCGTCGTAGAAGCCGAAGCAGACGGTGTTGACCTTCATGCCGCCGAGCCCGGCGATCCGGACCAGGTGCTGGAATCCCTCGGACACCGTGTCCGCCAGCGTCAGCTCAACGAAGGCCTTGATCTTCATGTGCTGGATCAGCTGTAGCCAGCGAGGCGTCTCTTCCAGCACCGGGTCAGAGTGGCTGTCCTCTAGCTTGCCTGGGGATGTCAAACACTTTACACTGAGAAGTGTTGTCAGCACGTTGTTTTTTTTTCAGTAAGACTTTTTAACAGTGAGATTTTTTTTTTCAGTAAGAATTTTTAAAAAACACTTTAAGGAAAAGGCAGACACACGTAAGTCCGATCTGAAGCAGACAAAAGACTATATTGTGGAGTATTTCAAACCATCCGGTACAGATCAGAAACACAAACTTGTACACTGTATGGCACACACTTAGACCACTGCAGTACATTTTTAAAGGACAAAAATGATTTTTAGAATGCTGAACACATATCATAAATGAAAGTAATTTTTAGTCCCAATTTCAAGGAAAATGGACCCAAAAAGCATTTCAAGTCATGTAGTCAATTTTAAAATAACACACACAGCAAAAACAAAGGTGTTTCCGACCTGTTACACCTTTATACACGACACGGACCACAAAGTCGTGTGCTCACCAATCTGCACACATCCAGGAACTCACCAGTCTTCACATGGCCAATGACGTACAGCCCAGATTTTTTAATGTCGTTGCAGAAGTCCATGAGCTCACAGCTCTGTCTGGGGTTGGCCACCATGAGAAGGATCTGTGGCCGCCAATACTTGACGTGGGACTTGCGGGGATCCAGCATGAGCAGATATTTACGCACCTGGGGACATGTGCCAGGGAATTGTGAGAGTTTTTTTTAAAAGCTTTAGTAGAGGTTTTACGGCGCTTGCAACTGCATAACGTCATATGAGCGCCAGAAGATTAGAGGTGTTACAAGAGAGTAACAAACATAAAAAGGAAGAAGGGAAGATACAGACAATAGATGTTTGATAGGAAAGAAGAAGCAAACCACAGCAGAGCAGCCGCCAACCACCCACTGGGAATTGTGCGAGTCCACCACCAGGGTAACATTTACACAAGTCATGGACAAACTACCAAAAGAAGTTAAACACTACCGGCCAAAATGACATGCTACATGTCGTTCTCGTTTACCCCCCTTCTGCAATAACAACACAGAGCATGTTGTTCTTACATCCCCGAATGAAATACACACTTCCGCTTACTCTTCCAAATCCGTGTTTCTCACATTGGTCAAGTCAAAAATAGACATGATGATGATACTTCTTTTCTTTGCAAAAATTCGAAGTTTGAAGGCGCATGTTTTTAGCCACAGCATGTTGGATTAATTATATACAATTTTGGATCTAGAATCTAATACACTTTCCAAATTAATATTTTAAATAAAATCCCCCTGCAACACATTTACTTTTCCTGTATTCAACCTCAGAAGTCACTTCCCTGTTGTTGCGGATGATTAATTTTTTTGACACGGTGAACAAAAAAGATCCACTAAAACGTTTTTCTGGTCCCTGTGTTGAACTGACTGGGTAGTGTAGGGGGGAAAAATAGGTCAACTTTTTATTGTTTTAGGTGCATGTTAAGAATACACAAGGGAGCGACATTTCTACAATCAGAAAAATCTGCAAATAAGCAGCATCGTTGTCATCGTTGTTTATGCCACAGGATTTAACACTTTGCCGTCACATCTCGCCGATCGGCAAGAATGCTGAACTTCCGTTCCCGTCACAAAACGCCGATCGGCCATGTTTACCACCCAGTTTCTTTGGATTTCCCCAAAATGCTTGTGATGGTAAGGGTTTTTACTGTATGATCTTGTGATGGTAAGGGTTTTTACTCTATGACCCTGTGATGGTAAGGGTTTTTACTATATGACCCTGTGATGGTAAGGGTTTTTACTGTATGACCCTGTGATGGTAAGGGTTTTTACTATATGACCCTGTGATGGTAAGGGTTTTTACTATATGACCCTGTGATGGCAAAGTGTTAAAGCTGAGGAAAAAGTCGAGGCTGACAGCCCAAACTTTATGGTAGTTCTGGCTGTTCTGGAAATTCCACAAAATAAAAATCTGACGGACACGGGGTTAAACCAACCACCACATTACCCCCCACGCACCTGGTGGAAGATGAGGGCCTGGCTGATGGAGCCCCAGGTGGTGGGCAGCGAGCGGAAGTGTAGCAGGATGACCAGCACCAGCATGAGGACCATGGCAATGCTGGTGTAGATGGGGCTGATGAGGAAGCACATGATCATGCAGCCAAGCAGGCCCAGGGAGCACGTGTGCCACGAGAAGTACACAAACGTCGGCCTGTGGAGGGGAACACACGCAGGTACAACTCAGGACAAGTTTTGTGTGTGTGTGTGTGTGTGTGTGTGTGTGTGTGTGTGTGACTGTGTGTGTGTGCATGTGACTGTGTGTGTGTGTGTGTGTGTGTGTGTGTGTGTGTGTGTGTGTGTGTGTGTGTGTGTGTGTATGTGTGTGTGTGTGTGTGTGTGTGTGTGTGTGTGTGTACCAGGAGAAGAAGACAAACGTCGGCCTGTGGACGTGAACACACGCGGATACAACTCAGGACAAGTTTCCTCGTTTGTCTTTTGTCTTTATCATAAGAGAAAAAAGATAAATACAGCAATAGTAAACAATATTCTAGAACAGTAAGAACAATATTGTATAATGTAAATTGTTAAGCATATGAGCTTGCTATTGAACAGGAGTTTGTGCTTTACAAATTTGACAGCTGTCAATTTTTGGCCAATAACTCCATTCATGGATAGTGAAAAGTAACTGATTTTGTCATCCCGCCTTTCCTTTCTGGTCAAATCATTTTGTTTCTCAGAATAATGTTCTTGTGTCATCCTGAAGGCAAGGGGCCCCACAGAGTAGGGAAAATGGCCCCATATGTAAAAATCAGTTTGCATGGCCAGTTGTAAAGTGCCTTGGGCTGTTTGAAAGGAAGGCTATTATAACAATAAATGATAAGTTAAATTTTCCCGACTCAGTTGGGCCCCTTGCCTTCAGGCGGAAAAAAGAACGCTATTCTCAGAAACAAAATGAATTGGCCAGAAAGGAGAGGTGTGACGACAAAATCAGTTACTTTTCACAATCCATGAATTTGAACGGAGACATAGACAAAAAAATCGACATAGTTGACAAATATGTAGATTTTCAGATGATGCCATTTTCTTCAAGTTCAATATGACTTTTATCACATCATACTGATAAATTGGATAAACTCAACAAAAACATTTGATACATATCTATTTCCATGGAACTAAAATCAGGGAAATAAATCATTGTGTCAGCACGCCTCACACATCATGCTGACACATAATCAACACAAATTCAGTGTGGATTTTCTTAGTAAGAGTTTTACAGCACTTGCAACACAATAAGGTCATATGTAAGAGCAGAAAATCGGTGTTACAAACGTGTAACAAACACAAAAAAGAAGGAGGAGAGATCAGGAAAATAGATGTATGACAGGAAAGAAGAAGCAAACCACACCAGAGCACCCGCCAACCATCCACAAAAATTCTGAGTAACAAAAAAATACAACAACACCACCATTTACCTAAAGTTGGGAGCAGACGCCAGCTCCAAGGCCAGACAGGCCAGATTGGTGGCGGCGTACGACAAGAGGAAGAAGACGGACGTGATCGGCGCGATGGCGTTCAGAGATCCCACCAGCAGGACGCACTGCGAGAGAGAATAGGTTTAGTTTTAATAACAGTTTTACGGCACTTGAAACACAATAAGGTGATATAAGTGCCGAAGATTAGAGGTGGTACAAGGGAGTAGCATACACAAAAAAGGAGGAGAGATAAGGGCGATAGATGTTTGATAGGAAAGAAGGAGGAGAGATCAGGTTGATAGATGTTTGATAGGAAAGAAGGAGCAAACCACAGTTAAGTACACACCAACCACCCACAAATGGTCTAGAAATGCCACAAGAGGGTTACATGAATCTGCAACAACAACAACAAAAGACTTACAAATACTAAGAAAGAATTTCCAAAAGCTAAAGAGACTGATTTATCACCGTGTACCTCCCTGAAAGCTACACTACCTCACAATAACACCATCCATTGACGACGCTGCTTCTTCCAAATCCCTGAGAGACAAACACTTAGGTAACAAAACCGTAAGGTCGTGGGTTCGAATCCCGTCAAGGGCCCGACGTTGTGTCCTTGGGAAAGGCACTTAACACGAATTTTCCTCACTTCACCCAGGTGGGAATGTGTACCCAGCTATAGACAGCGAAAGATCTTGTCTGTTAGTGTTTGAGCGCTTAATCAGCTGCTTGCACTGTATGCTTCCCGGGAAGCTGAGAATGTTTCGGAGTGTTCTATGGTCTACTGGGGTAATAATATAGTGTAAAGCGCATAGAGCCTGCTGTTGAGAGGGGATATGCGCTATACAAATGCTATCTATTATTAAAACACCACTTTCCACTACTGCCTTTGCACTCTTCCTACGTTATAATGACACTGTCCATAATGTCCATCTGTCTACAGTAACAACAACCACAACAGGTAGCTGTTTTGGAAAAGGTAGGCTCCAAGACCGTATTTCAAACCTCTCATATTCATAACAAATTTCCACTGGTATAAGAATTTTTTCTAGCAGAAGGAACAATTGCTGTGACTCAATTCTAGCTTTTCCTTTATCATTTTTTTCTCCTTCAGCCCTGAACACTTTGCAGTCACACAGCCAGCAGTACAAAACACCCCATTTGGTCATCCAGCCAGGAAAGTGACTGCAACGGACTTCTCGGAAATGCGACAGGTGACCGGAACCGATAATTTTCACTGTGACTGCAAAGTGTTAAAAAAATCCTTGTGATAAACGCAGAAAACTATTTAAGGAAACGGTCATAGTCCTACCTGTACAAGGAACCAGGAAATGAGTACGCTGATGACAGGATTGCCTCCCTTGGTGGTGATGGTGGCTGGCTTTAGGATAAACCCTGGGACAACAGGAAGAAGACGAGGGGTTAGTTGTCTGAGGTACCGCAGGAAGAAAACGAGGGGTTAGTTGTCTGATGTACCGCAGGAAGAAAACGAGGGGTTAGTTGTCTGATGTACCGCAGGAAGAAGACGAGGGGTTAGTTTGTCTGATGTACCGTGTGTGGCAGACAGACGGACAGACAGACCTGGTAGGCTTTTAACACCCCTCTCGACAGTGTATGTATTCATAAAGCAGATCCTACCTTCATGTAACATCCAATTTTGACAGTGTATGTATTCATAAAGCAGATCCTACCTTCATGTAACATCCAATTTTGACAGTGTATGTATTCATAAAGCAGACCCTACCTTCATGTAACATCCAATGTTGACAGTGTATGTATTCATAAAGCAGACCCTACCTTCATGTAACATCCAATGTTGACAGTGTACGTATTCATAAAGCAGACCCTACCTTCATGTAACATCCAATTTTGACAGTGTATGTATTCATAAAGCAGATCCTACCTTCATGTAACATCCAATGTTGACAGTGTATGTATTCATAAAGCAGACCCTACCTTCATGTGACATCCAATTTTGACAGTGTATGTATTCATAAAGCAGACCCTACCTTCATGTAACATCCAATTTTGACAGTGTATGTATTCATAAAGCAGATCCTACCTTCATGTAACATCCAATTTTGACAGGGTATGTAATCATAAAGCAGACCCTACCTTCATGTAACATCCAATTTTGACAGTGTATGTATTCATAAAGCAGATCCTACCTTCATGTAACATCCAGTTTTGATAGTGTATGTATTCATAAAGCAGATCCTACCTTCATGTAACATCCAATTTTGACAGTGTATGTATTCATAAAGCAGACCCTACCTTCATGTAACATCCAATTTTGACAGTGTATGTATTCATTAAGCAGACCCTACCTTCATGTAACATCCAATTTTGACAGTGTATGTATTCATAAAGCAGACCCTACCTTCATGTAACATCCAATTTTGACAGTACTAAACCACCAGGGGGTGGGGTGGGAGGGGAGACCATAACATCACCCAAAATATATGTGCTCCCTTTGGGATTTAAACCAGGGCCACTCGAATTCCAGCCCAGAATGATACTAACTGAGGATCAAGCTGTGAGGTATAAACAAATACCATGTCTACATCATATCAACATTGCACTGACCACAAACCACAGACCTATTCTAGTTTTGGCACTTGCAAAACAATAAGGTCGTATAAGTGCCGAAGATTAGAAGCGTTACAAGACAGTAACGTAAACACTACACAAAAAAGGAGGACTGGGTCACAGTCATATCAACATTGAACCAATCACAATCACCCACAAAATCCCACCCCCCTCATAAACCAAAAAGCAGCCAATCACTCACAGATGACAGTCATGTCAACATTGCACCATTCACAATAAACCACACAATCCCACCACCCCCGTCAGCAGAAATCAGCCAATCACTCACAGAACAGCTGATCGTTGCCCAAAGCCTCCAACACCCGTGAAGCTCCGATCAGATTGCCCAGCGCGGCCGACAACGTGGCTGCGAAGATTCCCACCACGACGAACGGCGGCCACACGTTCACTTGCTGGAGAAACACGTAGTCATTGACCAGGAGGTACCTGCGGGGAGAACGTCTCACTGCGTCATCATCACAATCACAATGATAATGGTAATGATAATAATAATGATAATAATAATGATAATATGATAATAATAATAATAATAACAATAATAATCATAATCATAATAATAATAATAAAGATAACAATAATATAATAATAGTAATAATGACAACAATGATAATAATAATAAGAAGAAGAAGAATCATTATAATCATCATCATCATCATCATTATAATCACAATAATAATAACAATAATAAAAATAATAACAATAATAATAATGAGAACAATATAATAATAATAATAATAATAATAATAATAATAATAACAATAATAACGATAATAATAATAATAATAATAATAATAATAATAATAATAATAATAATAATAATAACAATAATGATGATGATAAAGCAAGTTGGACTCTTGAGCTTGTAATGTTTCAAGAGGCCCCTCCCACAAAGCAATGTGTTGTTCAATTGTTTAATGTAACTATACTCAAAAAACAAGATGATAAGGTACTTGAAGGACCTCAAGATTACCGTCTCAGCAGAGAAAGAAAAAAGCAATTCTTAGAGCCACCCACCAACCACCCTGAAGGGAAAGTCCTGTCACTACTCTCTGACTACTCAAGCCAGGTATGTCAAAGTAGATAAAACCGCCACGCACAACCCACTGATAAACCAACTTGACCTACAAATTATCAGCAACAACGACGGTAAATACGGCCATGCCCAGCGTCATGCAGGACTACGACATCACCGTCGTCAGACTTTTTCACCCCTCGGTGGAGTATAGGCCACCTACAAGAGCTCTTCATCCACTAAAAACTAAGTACTCAAACATTAAAGTGCGGTATATTTTAGGTAAAGAATGAAATGCATATCGACGCGATCACAAAAATAAAATGTCAGGAAATAGCAAAACTAACATTATTAAAGTGCAGCCTATTCTTTAAAGTAAAGAAATGCATACCAATAGGATTAGTCATTGAAAGCTAGGAAATAGCAAAACTAACAATAAAGTGCAGCCTATTTTTAAAGTAAAGAAATGAATACCAATTTTTTGTCTACACAAAAAAGCAGGAGGAGAGATAAGGACGATAGATATTTGATAGGACAGAAGGAGCAAACCACACCAGAACACCCGCCAACCACCCACTAATGAATACCAATATGATGACAGTCATTGAAAGCTAGGAAATAGCCTAACTAACATTAAAGTGCAGCCTATTTTTAGAGTAAAGAAATGCATACCAAAAGGATTAGTCATAGAATGCTAGGAAATAGCCAAACTAACATTAAAGCGCAGCCTATTTTTAAAGTAAAGAAATGCATACCAATAGGATTAGTCATAGAATGCTAGGAAATAGCCAAACTAACATTAAAGCGCAGCCTATTTTTAAAGTAAAGAAATGCATACCAATAGGATTAGTCATAGAATGCTAGGAAATAGCCAAACTAACATTAAAGTGCAGCCTATTTTTAAAGTAAAGAAACAAAAACAAATATGATTACAGTCATTGAAACCTAGGAAATGGCAAATCTAACATTCAAGTGCAGCCTATTTTGAGTAAAGAAACAAATACAAATATGATGACAATCATTGAATGTCAAGACACAGCATACTAGTACGACTGCAGGACAGAGAAGTAGGACCCACCGACCCACCGGGGATGTCCCTTACCACCCACTTTTTTCAGTTTGAGTGAGAGTTTTACGGCACTTGCAACACAATAAGGTTATATAAGTGCCGAAGATTAAAGGTGTTACAAGAGAGTAACAAACAATAAAAAGGAGGAGAGATAAGGACAATAGATGTTTGATAGGAAAGAAGGAGCAAACCACACCAGCGCATCCGCCAACCACCCACTATTGCATACCAATATGATTACAGTAATTGAATGCTAGGAAATGGCAAAACTAACAATAAAGTGCAGCCTATTTTTAAAGTAAAGGAATGAATACCAATATGATGACAGTCACAGAATGTCAAGACTCAGCAAGACAGCAGGAGAGAGGAGTAGACCCCATCGACCCACCTAGGACATCCCATAAAACCTATTTTGTGTTATTTGAATAATTATTGCAGGGACCCAGCTAACAGCATCAGACTAGTTTACAATAAAACTTTTACTAATTCATCTTCTTACATGAGCATAGCACTCTAATAGAAACAGGTAATTTTGAGAGTGGTTTAAAACATTACACTTATATTAGCTTTGTCATAAGACTCATATGGACAGCGATGAAGGGAGTGATATCTCTCTCTCTCTCTCTCTCTCTCTCTCTCTCTCTCTCTCTCTCTCTCTCTCTCTCTCTCTCTCTCTCTCTCACACACACATCCACATGCACAACACAAAAACGATAGAAGATATTATGTGTGTGCGTGCATGCATGGGTGTGTCTGTGTGCATAAATGTGTGTGAGTGTGGGTGTGTGTGTGCATATATATATGAGTGTGTGTGTGTCTGTGTGTGTGTGCAAGCACACATGTGTCCGCCCATTTCACTTGATCTTTATAAATCTGTATCTCATGATGCAGAAGTTAACCAAAAAAAAAAAGCAAAAACAACATTCAATTTCTTCGAGACATGAATCAATCAATCCAGGCACGTATCGTGTTTCGTCGTGTGCTGAGGCAGCCCGGCCGTCAAGTCACACAGAAGGGAGAGGGGACCCACCTGGTGCAGGAACCACCAATGAGAATGCTCATGATGATGTAGGTGATGAAGGTGAAGCACACCGCCGACAGTGTGCCTTTTGGGATGGCTTTGGAGGGATCCTTCAGCTCACCTAGAAGTGGAAGGGAATGGGTTAGGGTGAGGGCAAGGGTTATTTAATGGGTTTAGTTTGTTTTAGTAGAGGTTTTACGACGCTCGCAACTGCATAAAGTCATATGAGCGCCAGAAGATTAGAGGTGTTACAAGAGAGTAACAAACATAAAAAAGAAGAAGGGGAGACAAGGACAATAGATGTTTGATAGGAAAGAAGGAGCAAACCACATCAGAGCACCCGCCAGCCACCCACTTAGTATGGGTTTGGGTTAGGGTGAGGGTATGGACTACAATCACCTCAAACGTTTGTACGTACCAGAAATCACAATTATCTCAAACGCTTGTACGTACCAGACATCACAATTATCTCAAACACTTGTACGTACCAGAAATCACAATTATCTCAAACGCTTGTATGTACCAGACATCACAATCACCTCAAACACTTGTATGTACCAGACATCACAATTATCTCAAACGCTTGTACGTACCAGACATCACAATTATCTCAAACGCTTGTACGTACCAGACATCACAATTATCTCAAACACTTGTACGTACCAGACATCACAATTATCCTAAACAATTGTACATACCAGACATCACAATTATCCTAAACAATTGTACGTACCTGACATCACAATTATTGTAAACAATTGTACGTACCAGACATATTGGCTCAAACAATTGTACGTACCGGACATCTCAAACACTTGTACATACGACACATCACAATCACCTCAAACAGTTGTACGTACCGGACATCACAATTAGCTCAACTCAAACAGTTGGACGTACCGGACATCACAATTAGCTCAACTCAAACAGTTGCACGTACCGGACATATTCGCTCCGTTCAGGATGCCAGTCACACTGCTGAACAAGATGGCAAACACCGTGGCGTAGTCCATTTGATTTTTTGTGTTGTAATCAATGGTGTATTCACCTGGGGAGACAAAAAGGACAACGTTCCTGATCTCTTTTCGGCACTCGCAACTGCATGAGGTCAATTGAGCACCATTCCTGATCTACTTAGACACATTTATTTCACAATATGCATAATAATTAGTATACACTATCATAAACAACAATTTTACTACATGCATTACAATAATCAGTAAACAATGTCATAAACAAAAGTCTTTAGTTTTAATACGTTTCTTACAGCGCTGGCAACTGCATAAGGTCACATGGGCGTCAAGGGGCGGATGTCAACAGAGAAGTCCGTATGGGGAATCAGGCTTACTCTGCTCACCTCTGTAGCCTCAACAGCACAAAGTCTGCTTCGACTGTCAAGGCACCCCAGAAATAGTGGGTCACAAGAGTGTGACAAACATACAAAAAAAGTAGAGGTAAATGACGATAGTAAGGATTAGGAAAGAAAAAGCAGCAGTCCCTCGTTGCAGTTCAGGCACAGTTATGAACATGACATTGATGAATCAGCTTATTTACAATTACAATTCTACTGCGCATAAAAAACTAGAGATGTCAATGTTCCCCCCTTTGGGAATGGCCTAAAGACACTTCAGTCGGTAGCACCACCCTGGGGTGGGGTGGGGTGGGGGGGGGGGGGGGGGGGTTGTAATTATAACAACCAGTAAACAATGTCATTATATCATACACAAAAGTCTTGAACAGAAGTACGTCAAAATTGTCCAAGATGGCCACCCAATGTTGATGAGAAGAAAAATGTTTGTCTTTGACGGGGGCACGTTTTGTACAGTGGCATTACAATATTTCTTAAATTTTAAACACAAGAAAGTAAGGAGCCATTTGTACAGGTAACTGTTTTGGAATGGTGGCCTTTAGGGCAGGTTCAACTTAACTGTACTTCCTTTTTTTTTTTTTTTTTTGTTGCAGATAAATTTTCTTTTTATCTGTAGAGGTCAAAGCATGTTTGTCTCGGTAGTTGATTACAAATCTCATTTTTATTTATTGCATTCCATTTTTGGCATTTTTCACTCTGATGTTCATTCCATTTATGGACCTCGGCTAAGCAAAGGAAAACAATTTGTTTATCAAAAGATGTAAACTGTGTATATATACAAAACACACAGGCTGGAGAAGGGTAGTGAGTGATTTGTTTTCAGTTCTACTTTAGTTTTAGTAAGGGTTTTAAGGCACTTATAACGCAATAAAGCCATAAAGGTGTCGAAGATTAGAGTGTTACAAGAGAGAAGCATACCCAAAAAAGAAGGAAGAAAGATAAAGACGATAGATGTTTGATAGGAAAGAAGGAGCAAACCACAGCAGAGCACCCGCCAACCACCCACAACGTCAAACAATGTCCGTGACATCGTGTTTATGTGGGCAGTCACTGGGGAGAGTCAATGACCGAAACGTGATAGTTCAAGCTATTGCTCTGTTCTCATTTAACAAAGGGGCCTATACAGAATCACATTTCAGGCCTATACAGAGTCACGTTTCAAGCCACCGAGTCATATCTGTCTAATTAGTCTAATGAATTCTGGCCGATCAGTCAGCGGACTAGATATCTGAGCCAGCTCTAGTTGTGCCTGGGCTCCGATCACTGACGTTCAGATCAGAGTTGAGTGCAGCTCTTTATCAGCGGCCACATTTTTGTTTGGGTCTTAGGTTATCAACAGGTGGTCGGGGTGGCATGTGCTGATAGCAAACTGCACGAGACTTGATCTAGGCTTAGAACTGAAAGCAAAAGTAATTTCAGCAATAACAGAATTAGACTAGAATAGACAGACTGCATTTATTTAGCCCATATACCTGCTTGAAAAAAGGCTATAAGCTCTTTGCAATTGATCATTCCTCCAACAGACAGCATAACATTCCTCAACGTTCTCAACTTCCTGGGGGGGAGGAGATTTAGTTTTATTTATAGTTAACACTTGTAGCACAAATAGGTCGTACAAGTGCTGGAGATTAACGGGGCTACTAGACAGTAACATACAAAGAAAAGGAGGAGGAGAGATAAGGACAATAAATGTTTGATAGGGAAGAAGAAGTTAACAAAACCAGAGCACCCTCTAACCACCCGCAAGGCAAGAAGAAACGGAAATTTAAAAAATAAATTTAATGGTCGCTTATTTTAAGCACAAGGGGGCTATCCCGATAAATGCTGTTTTGAGAAAATTGAAGGTAAAGTTTTTGCTCCTTGTTCAGTTTCTTTAAAAGACAAGGATAGGTTCTCTATAACCAAACAAATATACACACCAACGAAACCAAACTTCTCCTATAGATAGGGATTAGGGAAATGCCCACTTTTGGTGTAGGTCAAGATTTCTGGAAACCCCCGAAATCTGGGTTAGCCCGCTTGTCCTTAAAAGCGCCCAATAATGTGCAAACAACTCACTGTGTAAGTTTTCTCGGAACGTGGTGCCGTTGAGGCCCGTGTAGAGCCCGGTGATGTTGGCATCGTCGCTTTTGTTGAACCAGGCGATGTCATTGGTCTTTGGTATTTCCACGTCCACGTCCCCACTCTTCACGAAGACGCTGATCATCACGGACAGGGTACACACTACCACAATCTGCACGGCACAGGAAAATTTGACACATTGTTTCATTTAGATTCAGTGCTTTGTTTTGGTAAGGGTTTTGTAACACTCACAACATAGATCATTCTTTGTTTTAGTTTTAGTAGAGGTTTTACACTCGCAACTGCATACGGTCATATGAGCGCCAGGAGATTAGAGGTGTTACAAGAGAGTAACAAACATAAAAAAGAAAAAGGGGAGATAAAGGCGATAGATGTTTGATAGGAAAGAAGGAGCAAACCACACCAGAGCACTCGCCAACCACCCACAGTTAGAGTTGTTACTACAAAGGACAAAAAGGAAGAGCATAAAACCAGATAAGAATTGAACTGCTATCTACATTGCATCATTTATTTCAATAATTCACAAGAGAGAAAATATGCTCAAATGAAAACAGAACAAAATAAACTGAATCATAGAATATTTGGTTCTGTATTCGCAAGACTTAAAATAAATGATGCAATGCAGACTTGTAAAAAAATACAATCAAAGTTGTCTAAGATTGTCAAGGAGGAAAGTGGCTATCTTAGACAGTGACATTCTAATATACAGAAAAAAAACCCAGGAGGAATTGGGAAGCGGTTGTTTGTATAGGTGATTATCTTGGACAGGTGGCCATTAGAACTGGTTTTACTGCACAATAAGAAAACATATTTGAGAGAGCAGGTTTTTCCAAAAAATATTTCAGTCAAGCATAAGCAAAATTTTCAAATATAGACAGCCAAATAAGATCTTTTTCAAACCCTTGAATACTTGAAGGGATAGGTTAAATAAACAGTCTCCCCCACCCCCAAATGAGCCTAAAAAGTTTTATTCACAACGTCCATTCAAAGGTCAAGCACTTTGCCTTCTTGGGGTCAAGTGTCTGTTCCCCCCCCAGGGAAAAAGGTCAAGTGATCTCCACTTGTCCTGACAGCAACAGTAGCTGTGACAGTGGCTGTGGCTGTGGCTGTGGCTGTGGTTATGGTTATGAAGCCACACGTGTCTGCCTTTGATACGCAAGTGGATTGTCATCATCATCATCACGCTGGCGAGACCTAGGGTCTCCATATCACAGTCATAGTCAGGATAGATTGAACTGAAGAGGGAGACGGTCACGAGTATATGAATAGAGAAGAGAACCTAGAAACCTGTCAATTATATAGGAAGAGTCCCATCCATCACTCAATCATAAGTAAGTAAGAATACAGGTTTAATGCCCTAAAGGTTATTTTGTTTGTTTTAGTAGAGTTTTACGGCACTTGCAACACAATAAGGTCATATAAATAGATTAGAGGTGTTACAATTAGGGGTGTTACACTAATAAAGTGTAAAGCGCATAGAGCCTGCTGTTGAGCGGGGATACGCGCTGTACAAATGCTATTTATTATTATTATTACAAGAGAGTAACAAACACAAAGACAATAGATTTTTTATAGGAAAGAAGGAATAAACCACACCAGAGCACCCGCCGGCCACGCACAGAGAGAGAAAGAGAGGGGGAGAGAGAGAGGGGGAGGGGGAGGGGGGGGGAGAGAGAGAAAGAGAGAGAGAAAGAGAGAGAGAGAGAGAGAGAGAGAGAGAGAGAGAGAGAGAGAGAGAGAGAGAGAGAGAGAGAGAGAGAGAAAGTTTCAGTGGGAGATTCAAGGCACTTCCAACACAATTCGGTCCTACAAGTGCCGAGGATTAGAGGTATCGTAACAAGAGAGGAGAAAAGGACGATAGATGTTTGCTAGGAGAGAATGAGCAAAACCACACCAGAGCACCCGCCAACAACCCACGGTGAACCCAGAAACCTGGTTCTTGTATCGCAAGAGTCCCATGACTCATCCATCGCCTATCAGGAGAAGAGGGAAGTGGACAGAAGTGAAGGAAGATGGAGAAGGATTATCCGAGGGGAGGCAGAAAGCAGGGAGTGGGGAAGAACGGAAACTGAACTGGGGGAAAGTTTTGGTACAGTTAGTGTTTTAGGGCACTTGCAACATAAATGGGTCATATAAGTCACAAAGATTGGAGGTCTTATATATACAAAGAAACAAGGGTGGAGAAATACGGACGATAGATGTTGAATAGGAGGAAAGAAGGAGCAAACCACACAAGAGCACCTGCCCACCACCCACTCCCAATTGAACGCTCACTCCCGGGCGAGAGGGCATGGTGAAACAAGGTACACACACAATCTCACCAACAGACAACAATCTCACCAACAGACACACACACAATCTCACCAACAGACAACAATCTCACCAACAGACACACACACAATCTCACCAACAGACACACACACAATCTCACCAATAGACACACACACAATCTCACCAACAGACACACACACAATCTCACCAATGGACACACACACAATCTCACCAACAGACACACACAATCTCACCAACAGACACACA